CTGAACCAGAATGTCCTATTTCTAAAACTCCTATTTCTAAAACTTCTGATCTTTGACTGAGTACCTTTAAATAAATCATATAGACTCGTTTAAGCTAGTGCCCAGGCAGCCTTCTTCCATCTATTGTTTCCTATTAAGTAGTATAATGAATGCATTCTGACTTAAAGTCTTAGTTTAAATAGGCCTCTAGTGGGTGTACCACTCTTTCTACAGTCAGAATCATTAACACATTCACTACCAGCTGACTACCTCTAATTTTAGAGATTGAAATATGTCATTACAGAGCCACCTGTGAATCATTTTCTTTTATCTTCAGATTATTGCTTTTGTCCTGGAAGGAAAAAGATCTAAAGTTACTCGGCGGCCAAAGGCCAGTGACTACCAACGTTTGGACCAGAAGGTAAGGAAGGAAGAGCCAAGAAGAGCCAGATCTATGGTAGGGAAATTGATTCTGGGGGTGCTCTTGTTATTGCCCCTAGTCTCATCAGACCATAAACTAGAAGCCCCCATGTATACATTTCTACAACATTAGAGCCAGAAAAGACCTTCAAGTACTCTGCAACAACTTTCTCCATCAACACATGAGGAAACAGTCCCACTCAGAAACAGTGTGATTTTTTTTTCTTAATTTTCTACTATCAGTGTCAAAATCAGGACCTGATCACAAATGCCTAGATTTCCAGCCCTGAGCTTTTTGTACTCAGCTAGTGCTTCATAGACTCATAAGCATATATATAAATCACCTTGGGAATTGTGATAAAAAGCAACATCTGATTCGCTAGGTATGGATGGGATGGTACCTACGTTTGTACATTTTTATGAAGTACCTGGATGGCACCAAATGCTCTTGTAACCACACTTTGGATGGCATAGTACTAGACTCCCTGGAAACAAATGAGCTAGAAGCACATAAGCTTCCAATTCCCCACATTATCCCTTTGTGTTAAGCCTTGTGAGCTATAGCTCCTGAGTGCAGCCAGTCCATCCCTCTGCCAGGGGCAAGTCTTCCTTCTACCCCACTGCAGCAGAATTGAGCCAGGGTCTTTTTCTTTCTTTTTTGGGGGGCGGGGGCCAGGGCTGGGTTTGAACCCATCACCTTTGGCTTATAGGGTCACCACACTACTCCTTGAGCCACAGGCACTGCCGAAGGATCTTTTTCTTTTTTTTTTGAGACGGAGCCTCAAGCTGTCCCCCTGGGTAGAGTGCCATGGCATCGCACTCACAGCAACCTCCAACTCCTGGGCTCAAGCGAGTCTCCTGCCTCAGCCTCCCAAATAGCTGGGACTACAGGCGCCCGCCACAACGCCCGGCTATTTTTTTTTTGATTGCAGCCATCATTGTTGTTTGGCGGGCCCGGGCTGGGGATTCGAACCTGCCACCTTAGGTTATGTGGCTGGCGCCTTAGCCGCTTGAGCCACAGGCGCCAAGCCCAAGGATCTTTTTCTAAAGGTAGCCTGTATAAACAGGAATATTGTACTCTCACTGTGTTATTACCTGCCTGTACTCTTCCTTCCCTGTTTTGTATAGCAAAAGGAAGGAGATTGCCAAGAATACTTGATGGCTTAACTATGAATTATTCTCAGACTTTCTGTAGTAGAACATGATTCACTTTTACAATTCATATCAGCTACAGAACAAGCCATGGACCTCAGAACATGTTTGCTAACTAGCGAGTGGGTAACATTCAAGATTTAGATTTAGCTTACTACCTTCCCAGATAACTGATTTTTTTTTTTTTTTAGACAGAATCTGACTCTGTCACCCTGGGTGCCTTAGTGTCATCATAGCTCACAGCAACCTCAGACTCTTGGGCTCAAGTGATTGTTTTCCCTCAGCCTCCCAAGTAGCTGGGACTATAGGCGCCTGGCTATTTTTAGAGACAGTCTTACTCTTGCTCAGGCTGGTCCCAAGCTCTTGAGCTTTGGCTGTCCACCCATCTCGGTCTCCCAGAGTGGTAGGATTACAGGTGTGAGTCAACACACCTGGCCTTTTAGGCTGGTCTTGAACTCCTGAGTTAAAGTGATCCATCCACCTCAGCCCCCAGAGTGCTAGGATTATAGGCATGAACCCTTTCACTTGGCCCTAGATAACTGACTTTAAGAAATTTCCTGGCTTGGCACCTATAGCTCAACTGGCTAAGGCGCCAGCCATGTACACCTAAGATGGCGGGTTCGAATCCCCAGCCCGGACCTGCCAGAACAATGACGGCTGCAACCAAAAAATAGCCGGACGTTGTGGCGGGCGCCTGTGGTCCCAGCTACTTGGGAGGCGGAGGCAGGAGACTCGCTTGAGCCCAGGAGTTGGAGGTTGCTGTGAGCTGTAAT